CCGCCCACCGGAGCCCAGCACCCAACACGCGGCCGGCCCGTTCCAGCCCCAACCCTCACCTGCATAGAATTCAGGCCCATAGACTGCGCCGACCACGGGGTTTAGCTTCCAGCCTGGAACAGAAGCACACAGACCCAGTCACCGGCTTCCGCCATGCTGTCCCCACCTCACCCTAGGCTTGGGAACCCCAGTGTCACAGGCCAAGCCCCATGGGGACACTCTGAAGGTGTGTTCTGTCTTGTGGGGGCACCCTGCAGCTCCAGACCGGTCCAGAGCTGCAGGAAAGGTGTTCCGCCTTTGCACATAACATGTCCCCACTGCCAGTCCCCCTCCTGCTTCATTTCCCCAGTGCTGACTTTCCTCCTGTCCTCATCTTTCCTCAAAGCAGCCACCTGGACAGTGGCCTGGGAAAGAGGGAGAGAAGGACTGGATTGCAGGTAACGATGCGGTTAATCCCCCCCCCAACACTTTGCATGGGCTGCATTCACCGTTTAAGCCTGCAGGGTCCTCGCCACCACTCAACCAGGTAGCTGTCATACCACCCCATTTTACAGATGAAGAAATGGAGCCCCAGAGAGGTGCAGCAGCCTTGTGTCACCTGCTGGTAAGCGACAGAGCTGGATCTGAACCGGCAGCCCCAAGCCAGACCCAGTTCTGGTCACTCCCTGCGCCCTGAGCTGTATATCCCACCTCTCCCTTCCTGCTGGTGGGCCAGTCTTCCTCTCCCAACAGGAACACAGGAGCAGGGGCAAACCTGCTTTCCCCTTGAGGCCTCTGCTGTGGAAACCAGCTAGCCTGAAACAGCCTCCAGTCCCAGGCATCTGGATAGGGTAGGCGGGAGGGCTTATTTCACCAGGCCTAGCCTCTCGCCCCTCCGCAGTGTACCCAGGTCTCATCTTTGTGGCCTGCCCTGCAGGCTCACCTCCTGGTCCCTAGGCACCAGGAAGGGGACAGAAGAGGCCTGAGCTCGCTGGCCAGGGGGTGAGCTACATCTGGAGAGGGTGCCAAAAGGCCCAGGCCAAGGCATTAGTGGCAGACTTCACGTGTGAGCCCCTAACCAAAGTCCTAATGGCCCTGCTGTGGGGCAGGCAGACAGGAGGCTTCAAGGACAGAGTGCTCAGGGCTTTGTTTCATGAGACTGAGAGCCACCTCCCAGTCCCAGGCCACAGTCACATGACCTTGTGTCTAAACATTATTGCTAGGGCTTTGGAATCTTCCACCCATCTTAGGTTAGGAAGGAAGAAATATGTCGTCTTCTGGGAAACCTTCTGCCCCAAGAACGATTCTTTTTGGTAAAACGACTATGATGGAGCAGGTCTGAAGGCTCTGACCCAGAGTCCACTTTCTCACAAGCTCTGTCCAGCAGTTCTTCTGGGTCCATTCTGGCTAGCTGAGATGGCCCTGGGTTCTCGGTCAGTCCATTTTCTGGCTTTCTGGGTGTTATCATCAGTCTAGGCTGCCCCATTTCACTGTCTGGAACCCACGATGACAGAGGCAGCTTGAGACCACTTTACACGGCCCTTTTGTTTCTACTGTAAACGGTCAAACTTGGTAAGTTTGTTTTCTACAGTGGAAACTTTCACTGCCCTGACTGATGAATTTCAGAGTGTTCAGGAGTGTTAAAGCCAAGTCATGCCGCACTCACAGGCCACCAGAACCCCTGTGTGGGCTTTGGCGCCAGCCTGCAGAGAATCCAGGGCCATCTCACTACAGCCCTTGTTATTCCTGCCCAGGCTGACGGAGACATTTAAGTGAAATGTCTCTAGCTGCAAAGGTGAGCAGAAGCTTCCGCCTCCTTCCATTCCCTGACATTCACCCATCGTCGGGGACGTGCTCCTTATCTGCAGCACACTGTAAAGCTGTGCAGGGATGGGTTCTGTTCTGAATTCCAATCCTCAGTATTCTCAGTACTACCCAGGAAGTGGCAGTGTGTGGCTCCTGGGTGATAAGTGAGCAGCTGTTTCTCGCAGTTTCATAGCCTCATTGATCATCCATAGCCCCTAAGCATGTCTATTACTTGCACTTCCTGTGCCAAGCACCAGATCACAGAAGAGTCACACCCAGGAGGTACTTGGGACATTGGCAAAGCCAGAGCACCCCAAACTTTCCCTTTTTTGAGTCGGGTTTTACTCTGTCGTTCAGGCCGGAGTGCAGCGGCGTGATCACAGCTCACTGCAGCCTCAGCCTCCTGGACTCAGTTGATCCTTCCATCTCAGCCTCCTGAGTAGCTGGGATAACAGATGTGTGCCACCACGACTGGTGCATTTTTATTTTTATTTTTTTGGTAGAGACAACGTCTTGCTAAGTTGCCCACACTGGTTGTGAACTCCTGAGCTCAAGCAGTCCTCCTATCTCAGCCTCCCAAAGTGCTGGGATTACAGGCGTGAGCCACTCAACTGGTCCACCCCACATTTAAAAAAATAATTTGGGATAGGAAAGTCTTTAGCAAAACAGGATGCGGGGGTGGGCACAACAGTAAAATCTAAGTCAAGTCAAAGGGACAAGAGCTGGAGAGGGTGGCAGATGTATCATACTGTCCTGTTCCAGGCTTCTGTGCTGGTCGGCAACCTGACTCCTTGCGTGGCTGGCTGATCGTACGGGCCCATGAGAGGCTAGGGGTGATGCAGTCCAGAATCCATGCCAGTAGGGAGACCCATCCTCTCTGTAAGCAGCACTGAGGCTTTTAAGGGGTTCAAGTGGAGAAGCTCTCCCTGGAAAGCAGTGGAAACTAAAGCTGGCCTCTCCCTGATGGTGATGAGACATGCCACCACGGCCACCAGTGGTTCCTCCTCCTCTCTCTGTAGCATGGCATCACCTTCAAGGAAGACCAGCCACCTCCGTTTGTTATTTATCAGCCCTGGGGGTGAGTGTCACTATTCCTGTTTTGCAGATGCAGAGACTAGAATTCAGAGAGATCTAGAAGCTTGTCCAAGGTCCCCTAGTGCCCCCTTTTCCCTCCCTGAGCTTGTGCACACTGTGAGTCTGATCACAGGATTCTCCAAACACGAGTTCCTGGGAGGAAAGAAGGAGTGATCCAGGAAGTCACTGCGTCCCACCGTGCCTGAAGCCTGAACATGTGGCCTCTGGGCGTCATGCATGCTTAGGAAAGTGAGACACACCAGCTGTGTGGGTGGTGGTGGGTGGCCCTCAGCTATCCTCCTGCCTCAGCTGACCCACCCCCTTCTGACGGGTGGCAGAGCAGCAGCAGGAGAGCTAGGACAGGGGCGGGGGTGGTACTTAGCATCCAGGAAGGTCGGCCTGCTGCAGCCTTGGCTCCCCTAGGCCTCTGTCCTGGCTAGCATCCCCTGCAGCCTCTCAGAGGATTTGGCCCCTTACCATTGGTATAGGGGTTCCCCGTCTTCTTGTTGGTCATGACTCGAGCTGTGGCATTATTGACCTGTCCAAAGAGGGAGGGAGAGAGAGAGTGAGGGAGTATTAGTCTCCTGGAAGGTCCCCTGGCCACCCTGTCCCACTCTGCCTCGCTCCCCCACTGTCCCCACACTGCTGCCCAGCCAGACCCGTCCCGCCCCCTCTTTGCTGTGCTGCCTGCCCTGCAGGAACCTTGGCCCCCACGACTCCCAGCACCAGCCCCTCCTGGCCCAACGCCCTGCTGGCTGGTGCTCCTCCTATGGCTGTTTCCATAAACACAGCCCTAGCTTCTCTGGTATTCCAAGACCACTGGAGAAGCTCGCTGGTAGTCTTTCTGCAAAGTGCTCTTGGACCAGCTAACAGGCCGGCCCCCAAGACAAGCCCCTGTCCAGTGGCTGCCAAGGCCCTCCGAGGTGTGGGCACCAAGATGGCCACACCCTTCTCCTGGGAGTTGCACCACCCTCCCCGAGGCCAGAGTGCTCAACACTGCACAGCACAGAGCATTCTGATGAGGCCTGTGTGCTCATGGTGGCAAGGCTGATGGGGACGGGGCTTTGGGCTGGGTTCTGTCTTCCAGATATGAAAGACCCCGTGAGGCTGCCCAGGGCCAGCCTGGGATGGAGAGGATGAGACCTGTGTGGAAGGAAGTGGAGAACAGGGCAGTGGTGGGGCCCCAGGAAGGGTCTGGTTGTACTGTCCCCCCTACAATCTTAGTGTGAGTCCTAAGGACCTTGAGCTGCAGCCTGTGCCAAAGGATCCAGCTCTAGACACCCAGAGCCGCAGCAAGGGACGCAGCTCAATGGCTCTCTGGGTCTTTGGGGAAAGGGGTGGAGGGGACAGTGAGGGGCGCGTGTCTGGGAGGGACCCCTTGCCCCTCTCCCTGCTCCTCCTCTAGGTCCCTGCCTACGCTCTGACCCATTGCTGCTGCGGACTTTGCTTCTACCCAAACAAGGGTGGGGGTGCTGGGTGAGGGTGGGGCACAGGGAGGGCCTCGGCCCTGTGGGGGAGGGGATGGCCAGGGGCAGCTGCTGCTCCCTGGTGAGAGAGCTGGGGGAATTAATGGCTCCTCCATGAATGGAGCCAGCCCCCTCTCAACCTGGGGCCAGATTGGGCTGGCCATGGCCCTTGAAGCTGCCAAGCCTCAGACGCATAATTTCTGGGGCTCCTCCAGTGTCTGGTTGAGGACAGAGCTTCTACCAGGAAGTCCTGGAGGTGGGAGGAGGGGAGGTGAGCTTGAAGCCTAGACCAAGGAGGGGCGGTTGAGGCCCAGCAGAAAGCCGGTGACGTGTGGGCTCCCAGCCTCAGTGTGACCCTTCCTCCCACCACAGGGGACCCTGGCCGGGCTCTCTGCAGGGCACGGCAGCGGTGGGCCTGGCTGCCTGGGCCGGGGTGGCAGGCAGACGTTCTCGGGGACATCCCTGCCGCAGCACACTTATCTGAGCACCTCAATTTTCCGTCCCTCTACGATCGTCCCATTCAGCTTCTCCCGGGCTCGGTCAGCATCTGAGCTAGTTTCAAAAGTTACAAACCCAAAACCCTGTGAGCAGAGGAGAAGGACAGACACAGAGAGAAAGACACAGGATGAGAAAAAGGAAACAGAGGAGGAGTGGGTAGGTGGGAGGGGGAGAGAGAGAAGGGGAGAGAGAGAGAAGGGGTTGAGTCAGGTGAGCTGAGGCAGAGACTCAGGCCGCCCAGAGGTCTGTCCTGGGGCCACCGGCAGATGTACAGGAGGGGTACGGGCCCGGGGAAGGGGCAGGCAGCTGCTGGCCTGGCCTGAGCCCAGCCCGAGCTGACCACCTAGAGCCTCCGAGAGGACAGGCCAGCGCTACAGAAGAGACACCCAGCTGGCCAGAGGCCAGGCCTGCCACCCTAACCCCATCTCGGGGTGGGGGCGCCCAGGCTGGGCTTCAGGACCTAGGAGGGCAGCCCCACCCACCTTGACCCTAAGAGCCCGGGGTGGAGGGTCTTGCCTTCTTGGAGGGGGGAGCAGGGCTTGTCCTCGATGGGCGCCCTCCCGGCCTGCCCTCCCTGCAGCCCCTTCCCAAGCCTCCAGGCCAGCGCCCCCTGGGGTGAGCGTTCAGGGGGTGGGGGTCCAGGCCC